ACAATCACAGGAACAAGTGTGAAAATGCTATTGTGGTAGTTGCTACAAAGAAGAGACACATGGATTTGTAGTCAGGAGATTCCTCCTTGTCAGGGAGAGCAGAAGAAAGGCCTGGGTGAAATATGTAGATCTGTGTCCATGTATTTGTATGCCACCATAGGTAAAGGGCATAGAGTAAGTAAAGGACCTAGAAACATAGCCAGGTAGAGGAGGATGAACAGAGAGAAAGAATGGCCAGAGAGTTGAAGGGAAACCAGAAAAGGGCTTGTATCCAACCAGAGGAGCCAAGCAAGGAGAGTGCAGTTAAGACTAGTAAGAGCACAGGATGGGACGGTGTGTCTGTACGAAGCCGCAGGGGCCATGAGGTGGTAGGGCACACCTGGATTCAAGTGTGGTCCTGTTTCCCTTTAGCTGTGTGGCCTGGGGGAAAAAGCTGTCTGGCTTCAGATCTTGCATCTGTAAAATAGAGATGATACCTTCCCCCAAGAGTTATTGTGGAGATGAATCAGCATATGCAAGGGGTCTAGCACTTTGCAGCTTCTCAATAAAGATTGTTTCCTCCCTTTCATTATGTCTCCTTCCACTCATTTATTCATCTGTTTTAGCTGTTACTCTCCTTGATGACTTAGCATTGGTTTTGGTGACTTATCTATGAGGGTCAACAGCCCTCCTGTTTCCATATACCCCTGCACTCGCCTGGGTACCAGCAAGCTGTTGTGAGCCAACAAATCAGTTCTCTGGATATGGGAGGGAGCCAAGCATACACCTATGTGCCTCTTGGTATGCAGACATACAGAGCAACGGGGGTTGTGTAAGGACATAATATACCCTCCTTCATCATACCGAGCTTTTCCATAGGAACTCCAATTACCAAAGTGAATGCCTAATTCTTGTCTCAGGACATGTTTGTGCACTTGCATTCCTGCAAATGCGGAAACCTCCAATAGTTTAGTAATAAATGACTCATCACAATTTCAGATTTCTTTCCAGAGACAGCATTGACCCTCCCAGATTTTTCAGATTGGCTAGAAGCAGCCACTCCCTCCTCCTTTCCTTCATTTTGGTCTGTCAAGTACAGTGAATGGACAAAAATGCAGTTTTCCCTACTGGTTAAGAGCTTTTCCTCTGCCTGCCACCTCTGATGGTTTTTATAGTGTGGCCCTGGCTTTGGCAACCACTGTTAACGATTAACCGCTGGGAGATAACGTAATTCCCTGCTTGCCTTAGGTTAACTAAACGTCAGAAAAGAGAGACGGACAAATATTTCCACTGCCAAATAGAAATACAAGGATAGGGGCGCCTGGGGGGCTCAGACGGTTAAACATCTGCCTTCGGCTCAGTTCACGATCCCAGTGTCCTGGGATCGAGCCCCGCATCGGGCTCCCTGCTCAGCGGGGAGCCTGCTTCTCCCTCTGCCTCTACCTGCTGCTTCCTCTGCTTGTGCGCGCTCTCTCTGTCAAAAATAAATAAAATTAAAAAAAATACAAGGATAATTCTGAGATTGAAACGGTTGGTTTCTTATTATTGACGGAGGCCATGTTTTCCAAACCAAACACGAGGACATAACATTTCACAAGCAAGAGAGTAGTTTCAGGGACAGGCTACTCTATTAATTGGAATTGTTAAAGAAATTCCAGGGCTCGGCAATCACATAGCTACTCAGCATGGGAAGCACTTAAATGATAACGGAGCTAATGATCATATTCCCCTTTCGGAATGGACCCTGTAGACATTTTAACTGACGGGGGCCATAAAGAGAGGTGACGGGAAGGGAAACTGGAGCTCTCCCAGCATCCTGCAACCCAGCCACCCGCGCGGCCCCGGGTCCTTCCGCGGCCGGCGCACAGTCCGGGAAGCCCGCTTCGGCACTGCGCGTGCGCCGAGCCTCGCTCGCGTTCCAGGTGGAAGGTGGCGCGTTGGAGCGTTCATGGCAACGCCACGCTTCCGCCTTCTGCAAGCCTTGGCTCCAGCTCCCGCACTGTGAGACCCGTCCGGGTAGGGGGAACCTGGGCTGAGTCCGGGGTGGGGACGGATGGGGGGACGAGGGGCCTGGGGGCAGGGGAAGCTGCTGGAAACGTTTGCCCCAGGGAGTGAGCTACACTAAGAAAAATCAGTCCAAGGCTCAGCACAAAAGGATCTTTTCATTCCAGTCCTTTCGCCCACGCAGGGAACGATGCCTCTGGAAGTGGTGGTAGAACTACAGATCCGGGCGGTAAGAGAAGGCGGCGAACCTCCACTCCTCGCTCCAAATCAGACTCTTTCCCCCAGGGTTCCTAAATGGTCGCGATCACGTACACCACCTCCTCCCCGCCTCACGACACACACATCATCATTATCTTTTGGGGCAGATCGTACCTCTGTGTCCCTAAGAGCTTTACTTTGGTCTTCCCTGATTTCTTTACCTTTAATTCAGCCCAACCTCTTTCAACATTTTTGCCCCCTAAAGGACTTGTTTGTTAGCTTTATCCTAAAATTGTCTGTTATTTTAGAATAATCCTGCATTAAGTCCAAGAAGAATTTTATTTTTTTTCCCCAGGATAAAGATTTGTGAAATAATAATAATAATAAAAAAAAAACCCAAACAACCCTCCTTTAAATAACAAGGGAAGAATTCAATTTCGGAAAGCCCAATCACTTCCTGATAACTTGCCACCTCTGTGAACCAATGGAATATGTATTTTTTAAAAATATTTTATTTATTTGTCAGAGAGAGCGAGAAAGCACAAGCAGGGGGAGCGGCAGTCAAAGGGAGAAGCAGGCTCCCTACTGAGCAAGGAGCCCCATGTGGGGCTCGATCCCAGAACCCTGGGATCATGACCTGAGCCGAAAGCAGACACTTAACCGACTGAGCCACCCAGGCATCCCCTAATTGAATATTTTCTAAGTATTTCCCCTAGAGATGGCTCTGGCTTGCTAATTCCAAAAGGGGTCAGTCAGTCAACACTTGTTTTATAATTATCCACCGAATCCTGCATAAGTGAGGTGCTGTGGCAGAGTGACTGCATTGTTCCTGTTTGGGGTCAGTCACTACCCTGAATTCAGCTTCTGTGTTCCAATCTTTCCATCCGTAGTTGGTGACAGACTGTCATGCACCTTTGCCTCCCAGCTTATAGGGGCTTCTCTACCGGCCGTGATTACAAGCACAGTGTCAGTAAGTTTTGGCCACGGAAAATCTGGTGAGCCTCCGTACAAGTGACAAGTGCTGTGGTTTCATGATACATGCAGTTCTGAAAGACAAAAATGTCCTGGATTTGTCCCATTTCGCTGAGAGCAAATAGGACTAGACTCTATCAAATTGTGCTACATCGAGTGCTGCCGACCCTCAAAATTTTGCAGTAGGGGGGAGGAATTCTTGAGAAGCTGAGTGATAAAGCAGTCTTCCACCAAGGCAAAAATGGAAAAAGTTTTCATCTCACTTCATTCAACATTACTGGTTAATTTTATTTTCATTTTTCAAAGGCATTCCTCAGTGTACAATTAATTTACAGTAAAATCATTTTCTACTCTAAAGTGTTTCAGAGACATCACTTGAATTGATCTGTGCTTTAAAAGCCTGCACTCAGGTCCCCAACGACTAAGACAGGGAATTCCAGAAGTAAAACCAGGAACCAGAAGATAAAACTGTGAGCTCCCAATATTCAGACTTGTGAACACCGCAAAAGGAAATACTGCTTTCAAAAAGATCTGGCCTGAATATTGCCGGATTAAAACAAAAGATCTAAGATTAAACAATAAAGCAAATCACTTAGAGCTTTACAGTTTGGCTGATTCAGCGAGAGAAGAGGTAGTCTTGCGTTCAGGATGTTGTGGGAATACAAGTGATTTTATTTTACTTTGAGGAGTTCCTCCGTGTGCCTCTCACACTCAGAAAGCTCACACTTCTACCCAATCAGAGCCCACTTGTCACACCATTCTCCAGATTCCAGTGTGCCCCTCTACGTGACAAAGGCCATAATCCTCTCTTTCTGTAAATGTCAAAATAATCCGTAATTATCTGAAAACACCAGTGCCAGAGGTAATTCAAAAGTTCTTATTTTTCAGGTAGGACAGCATTTAAAGCACATCCCCTTCTTGGTCTTCCCTGCTCAAAGAATAATGAGCAGAGTCCATCCTGCATTTGGTGATCTTTGGTCTTGTGATTTGGGGAGGCACCTATGGATAAACTGCTTTAAATGTGAAGGTCAATGTAAAGGGAAATTTAGGAGTTAGTTATACCTTGTGCCTGGTATAGCAGTGGGCTCCCCTGATGAATTTCAAGTTAAATACTGTTACTAAAGTGTGCTGTATACGCGGAAATGGAATTCCATATGAAAAAGTTTAATATACAGGGTCATCCTTGTGATACATATAAGAAAGTTTACGGCCTTGCACTGCAAAGAACCAAGTTATTTTCCTATTACCTAAGTAGAGGAGCATTATTGTTTATTCAGTAGAGATGATGGGCAGCAGAGCCCCATCTCCCACCATACTGGCCCACTGACATAGTATGTGGTAAGCCCACCCCCAGACTTGTAGTTCCTGAGTCCTCAGCTTTCCGGTCCTCTGTCATGCCATGCTATTTGTCATCAACAGAATTAAGCATTCGGTCATAGTCCCATCCTTCCATTTCCGTGGGCACTGTAGATATGCTCACCTTTAAGTGTTTCTTCTTCAAGTTAAGTTCTTGGCTTGTTCTCTAAATGCATAAAGATAATATTGGAGAGTAATGGGAAATAAATACCTATTTAAAGAGTTTTTGAGGAGGTAGAGGGAAAGGAAAGCAAGATATGTACTATAATCTCTCTTCTCACTACCCAATCCACAAAGATGGAAGAGACAATATACTAAGAAAGCTTATAAAGAAAATCAGGATTAAGAAGACACTGTGGCAACAGATTTTCAGGGAATAAATGAGAAAAACCTATGTCTTAGACTTTTAAAATACTGTTTAAAATCTACCTCAGGAAAAGAACTAGGATTAGTAGGTGGTTCATCTGCATGTATACTGACAGAATCATAGGTTTTTTTTTTTTTTTTTCCAAAGTTCACTTTACAAATGGTATGTTGACTTACAGGATGACTACAAAACCCAAAATTTACTTTTGTCAACTTTTAAAAAACAGCAGGATTATAATCACCCCAGCTTGTTTTCTTTGCAGTTGTCCTGGAGATAGAAATAGTTGTTGAATAAATATATAATAGAGGGCTTTTTTTTTTTTTTTTTTGCTTTCTGTAACATGGCTGTGGTCATAATGGCCAGCATGTTCTCCAGCGTAGCAACCCATCAAGACGGAATGACACCTGAAATCCCAAACGAAGCCTGAAATGTCCTTAGAGGGAGAAGCAGAATTGCCGCTGGTTTACGCCGGCTTCATCGCATGTGGAAACCTTCAGATCTCCCGGTGCCATAAATGAATGAGATGGTGTCATTGTTGGTTCCACAGTACGAAGAGGACCGGGGCATTGTGCGGCGAAAGCCAGAAATAGTCCACGATGCTGTACTGCGTGTAGCCCAGAAAAAAGCCAAAAGCCACGTCAGTGACATTGTGCCGCCCCAGCATGACCCTGGAGAAGCCCACGATGAAGGCCCATAGGACCACAAGCACCCTCAGCGGAATGGCCAGCACCAAGTGGTTCAGGATGAACCGCGACACCAGGGCGGCCCTGGTGGCGTGGCCCGAGGGGAAGGAGTACTTGTCCACTGAGAGGGTGACAAACATGTCCATCTGGTTGTGAGCCGGGCGGCGCCTGCGCACCAGCCCCTTGATCAGGGCCACCAGCAGCAGGTCCAAGAGCAGGGCGAAGAGCAGGTTCATGAGCACCTCGCGCCCGGCCCAGCTGTCGCTCCTGGACAGGCAATAGAGGGTCCCCAGGAGCCAGGGGATGCCGTGTCCCGAGATCTCCAGCAGCTTCATAAGAGGCCGCATGCTACCCCAGGACGAGCTCTCAACGGCGCACACCCCCAGCTTCTTGGACAGCCACAGGTCGATGGCCAGCAGGGAGCGCAGGGCGATGCCCAGGAAGGACGGGTTCAGGTCCATGCGGTCTTCCTCCGGCAGCGGGGCGGGGGCTGCCTGCGGGGGGCCGGCCCCGGCCAGAGGGAAGGAGCCGCGGCGGTGCACCGGGCTCTCGGACGCGCGCAGCCGGGCGCAGGTGGGGTCCGCGCCGGGCGCGCGGCTGCCGAGCAGGGACTGGAACTCGAACCGGCCGCCGCCGCCGCCGCCGCCGCCGTGGGCCGGGCTGCCGGGGCTGCTGGTGCTCGAGGCGGAGGCGGCCAGCGGGCGTCCGTCCGCGTTCCTCCGGGGGCTCGGCATCGCGGCGGGGGGCACGGACCCCAGGAGCCGACCGGCCTAGCGAGAGGCTCCCGGCCCTGCAGCCTCTTCCGCTTCCGCACTGGCCTCCCGGAGGGGCGGGGAGAGGAGCCGGCGAGAGGACGAGTGTGACACCTGGCGGAGGCGGGGGAGGAAACTGGAATTTCTACTCGAGGAGGGCGACGACAGGGGGAGATGGAGGTGTGGGAGGTCCAGGCGACGGGGTGCGGGGGTGGTGGTGGGGGGGGGTTGACGGCGGCCGTGGGAGTTCAGGGAAACCAGAGCTCCGTTTAAAAAACGACACCAAACAAACCCTGTTCTCTGTTTTTTCTTTGTTTTTAAGATTTCTTGTCCAGGGGTGTTCCTTCCTGACAAGCAAGATGTGTACCTTGGGGTGTACCTCCTAAATCAATACCTGGAGACCGACTGCTTTCCCTCTGTGTTCCCTATTATGATTCAGCAGAGCATGAGGTTTGAAAAGGTGATCCTGACTTTCTCATTGCCAAAGAGAGAAGTTTAAATGTTGTTGTCTGGAGATCATCTAATGGGTCTTATAAAGTTATTTTGTACATTTTCTTAAAAGAAAAAAATGACCTGAAGGCACCTCAGAACAGTACAGAACCAGAGTTGGAGGACTTGCTTTTGCATTGTAGGTCTGAGCCAAGTTCTGTCAACCTAGCGCTAAATGCCCTGGTGGATGCTTTCTATTCTTGGAGTTCCCATGGCATTTTCTAACTGGAGCAGAGAGAGCATTTTCTGAATGTTCTTGGAGGTGTCAGAGGCAGCTGCATTACATTTCTGACCGAGATTATCAGTAAATTAGTGGACCTTAGAAACAAACTTTTGTAGACTCAGAAGAATAATGAAAAAAACTATATTCAAATTAGTAAGATCCTGTACCTGAAATCCTGTAACAAAACAAGCCTCTTCAGATTTATTGAATTTTCTTAGGTCGTCCCTGGTTTATTTAGCTACAGTGATAAAGGCTAGGTTCTATTCCAGTGAGTACGAACATGATATTAAATGAACATTACAAACTTCTTCCCACTTTAATTTAGAATATTAGTTTCATTATTATGAATCATGCACAGTTCTTTGAAGTTTTCGTTTTGGAATTTGGAGGCGGAATCACTTTTAACCTTGGTCAGTCTAATGATTTTTCCCCAAACAATATCGCTGAGCTGCTCTTTGGAGGAGGGGATGAGTATGGGAAGGCTAGATAAGGTAGAGCCCATCATTTTTAAAGATTTTATTTATTTATCTGACAGATAGAGAGACAGTAAGAGAGGGAACACAAGCAGGGGGAGTGGGAGAGGGAGAAGCAGGCTTCCCGCTGAGCAGGGAGCCCGATGCGGGGCTCGATCCCAGGACCCTGGGACCATGACCTGAGCCGAAGGCAGATGCTTAACGACTAAGCCACTCAGGCGTCCCGAGCCCCTCATTTTTAAAGGTCTGGATGGTGTTGCCCAGAAAATGACCTGTTTCCACCTGAGACTGGGAGAGGCGATGAGGATTGATTTTCTAAAAGGCTCGGCTGTATGTAATGTTTTTGGAAATCACAGCAGAAATTGAAATAGAGTCTACAAAACTGGTTGGATAAGAGAGGAGAGGAATAAATGGATATTACCTTGGGACATATAGTCAGAATCCAGAGGAACCCATTTCTGCTATTTAGATACTGGTAGTGGTAGGAAGTGGGTGGTGAAAATCCAGTCTCTGTTTTCCCCTGGGAATATCCTTATTAGTTTTTCAGTTTTCCTTCTATAGAAGACTTTAAAAAGACTTCCCTTTTAAGAGAAGCACAAGGATACAAAATCACAGAAGCACAGAATGATAATTCCGTGAATGACCTTGGAGGTCATCTAGTCCAACGTCCTTGACTTGTAGAAAAGGGGGGATCAACCTCAGAGTTAGACTCCAGATGCCACTACTGCTCTGTTGCAAAGCTGTGCATTTGAAGATTGCTAGTCAAACATGTATCACGGACCATTTTTCTTTTTATAAAATGCATTTATTTAAAAATTTTGAAATATTGCCCTCGTGTGTGAGCCGCTTGGGTTCCTATTCCAGCTTTCTCCCACCTGGCTCCAGTTTTCTTGTATTTGTTCCATTCTCTAGCTGCAAATACTTGCAGCAAGTATCGAAGACATTTTCTCCTCCTTGGACCTGCTATGTAACCCAGAAATGAATGTTCTAAAACATTTGGATAAATAAGAAATCGCTTATCAAGAATGTATGAGACATTGTGTTTGAGCAATTACTCCCCAGGATCACAGTTGAGAAAATCCGTAGCCATGGATGAAGTGAAGGTGAAATAGGCAAGCAAATGAAGCAAGCTGAAATAATTCAGGGGAAAAAAAAACCCCTCACCTGCATTTGCTTGAAAAATCTAAGTCAGTAAGACAAAAACAGATTACAGGGGACAGCCTCCACTTTTGTACTTAAAGGTGAACTGGCTTTGGATCAAGAGCAGATGTTAACCATGCTTAAATTTAAACACCATTTATATCAGAACTTAAATGCCTGAAATCAAACTCTGATGAAAACTTTCGTTTCTTGGCGGCTTCCAGAGTTCAGGGAAAAGGGCGTGTCATGCTTTTAATCTCAGTTCTCTCCCAGACCCTTCAGCTCAAAGACAAAATAAGCAGATTTGGCATTGGCTAGACGGATATCACATTTGTCTTGTGCTTCACGGTATACTTTAAGCTTATGAGGCTCTCCCTCGCTCTGGTTATTTTGGGTTCTGTAGAAGTATAGCTTAGTAGTGCCTCATTTTCTTTTGTGTTACACGTAGATAGAATTTTTACTTATGTTCCTTTTGAGCACAACCAATTGCTAAGGTCGTTTATTCAGTTAACATCATTTAATGAGTGTCTGTGGTATGCAGAATGTATTTCTAGGTACCCAAGCAAGACTCTGAGGCTTGACGCCAGATGTGCTTTTGGCAGCAAACTGTAGGGCTAGGTCAAGTTGATGACATTTGGAGCATGTGGTAGATTCAGCTAACTCAGATTTTCCTTGTGCTTCGTACTGTGTTCTCATTCTATAGTCATTCATTGGACTTTTAACACATACCTGTTAAAGATACTCCTGTTGAATTTTAAAATATTATATGGCTGGAATTGGCATGTGTTAATTATTTGGAAGAATATAATCTACATTTTCTACAAGCATCTATTAATAAATGTTTGAAAATTTATTTTCACCATTTTTTTTTCCTGCAGGTGTTTGAAAATGCCATAGATCCTGGCGCTGTAGCAGACATTTTAGAAAGTAGGTACTCTCAAAACAAAACAAAACAACTGTTGTGTGTGTAATTGTGTGTACAGATATAAAATTCTACGATATTCTATGTTGTAATATTTCCATGTTCGATTCATATTTATATTCAGGAGAGTCTATGTCAAATTTGAGTCATGTTTTTCGTTCTCTTACAGACTCTTTTCTAGATAGAGATGGGACTTACTGGATGGTACACTTCTGTTTGTTTATTAATTTATTTACAGTTAAATGGTTTTTGTACCTTCACACAGTTGTGTGACCATCACCATATTAATTATAAAACATTTTTATCATAGAATGAAGCCTTAAACCCATTCTTCCTTATCACTCCCAGCCCTAGCTAACTGCTAACCAATCTTTCTGTCTCTGTAGATTTGCTTATTCTGCATATTTCATGTAAATGGAATTATACAATACGTGCTCCTTTGTGACTGGCTTCTTTCCCTGAGCATAATGTTTTCAGGATTCATCTTTGCTACAGCATGTGTTAATACTTCATGTGCTTTTGTGGCCAAATAGTGTTCCATTGTATGGAGATACTATATTTTATTTAGTCATTCATTGGTTGATGGGTGGTTGGGTTGTTTTCACGTTTGGGCTGTGATGAATAATGTTGCTATGAATATTTGTGTACAAGTTTTTTTGTTGACATATGTTTTCATTTCTCTTGGGTATATACCTAGGAATAGAAGTATGGGGTCATATGGTAATTCTTTTTAATCTCTGGAGAAACTTTACCAAAGCAGCTGAATTATTTCACATTGCACCAGCAATATGTGAGGGTTCCACTTCTGGCCAACACTTCTTATTACCTGTCCTTTTGATTGCTAGCCATCCTTGTGGGTATGAAGTGAAATCTCATTGTGGTTTGATGATGTTGAGCATTTTTTCATGTGTTTATTGACTCTATATCTTTTTTGGAGAAATGTGTATTCAGAGCTTTTGCTTATATTTTAATTGGGTTATTTGGTTTTTTATTATTGAGTTGTAATATATAGTGGACTTGTAATGTATCGAGTTCTTTGTATATTGTAGATACAAGTCCCATATCAGATGTATGATAGATAAATGTTTTCTTCCATTCTTTGGATTATCTTTTCATTTTCTTGATGGTGTTCTTTGAAACACAAAAATTTAAAATTTTGATGAATTCAATTTTATCTGTTTTTCTTTTGTTATTTGCACTTTTGATGTCATAACTAAGAAAGCATTACCTCATTCAAGTCACAAAGATTTATGTCTATGTTTTCTTCTAAGCGTTTTATAGTTTTAACTTTTACATTTATGTCTATGATATGTATTATGTTGATTTTTATAAATAGCATGAAGTAGGGGTCCAACTTGCATCTGGATATCCAGTCATCCTGGTACCATTGTTGATAAGAGTATTTTACCCCCATTGAAAAGTATTGGCATGTTTGTTCAAAGTCAACTGAGTGTAAAAATGAAGGGTTTTTTAAAAGATTTTTTTTTATTTATTTGACACACAGAGAGAGAGAGACAGCAAGAGAGGGAACACAAGCAGGGGGAGTGGGAGAGAAAGAAGCAGACTCTCCTCTGAGCAGGGAGCCCGAAGCGGGGCTCGATCCCAGGACCCTGGGATCATGACCTGAGCCAAAGGCAGACGCTTAACGACTGAGCCACCCAGGCGCCCCAGGGTTTGTTTGTTTGTTTGTTTGTTTTTGACTCTCTATTCTGTTGATCCATGTATCTATCATTATGCCAGTTCCACACAATTTTGATTACTGTAACTTTGTAAGTTAGTTTTGAAGTCAGGAAATGTGAGTCCCCTACCTTAGTTCTTTTCAAGGCAGTTTTTGCTATTTGGATTTCCTTTCCTTTCCATATGAATTTTAGGATCAG